ATAACAAGCAGACTACAAGAGAAACTCTTCTCCCCTACAGGCTCAAAGCCTGTAATCAAATTTTCTGGCCCCTAACTGGCCTCCCATTAGTCATCTGCCTCTCCCTGAGCCAGTCACTGTGGTCAGGGTGTTGTGATCTATTGGCCTAACATAGATAACTTTCTCCATCCTTAGAGCCAGGGGGCTGCAGAAGTTCTGAAGTCCCTGTGCTGAGAGAACAGTATGAAAAGAACAGGTAGAAAAAGCCCAAAACTTAGTAAAAATTCCCATTAAGTTACAAGGTAGTCACTTTGTGTTCCATGGATTGGCTGAGATAAAGCTGGAAAGACAATTGGAACTCAGTTCAACACAGACTGGGCTCAGGTGGTAGAAGTCCTATATTCTATGCTGCATGGCTTTGACTGAATTCTGAAGGGAATGTTAAGCCTAGGAAGGAAAGAAAAAGAGAAAAACAAAAAACAAAAAACAAGAAAGAATCCCAGGGCACAATGATATTTAGAGCAGTCAGAGGAATAGGAATCCATAAAGGAGGGTATTCAGGAAATTATCAGTAAGGCAGGAAGAAAAGTAGGAGAGTTATGTAATTGAAGCCAAAGGATGGGAATGTTTCAAAGAGCCAGAAGCAAAATGTGTCCAATTCAGAACAGATGTCAAGTAATAAAGGACCTGAAAGATGTCCCTTGGATTCACAAATAAAAGAGACAAGGAATTTAAGTGACCAAGGAGCATATTATCTAGAGCAAGAGAGGTAATGGTCAAGCGGGATAACAGGTAGTGATCAGAGAAGACCTGTTAAAGCTTAATATTTCAGAGTTAGAGGATAATGAAGTAAAGATAGCTTTGATCTGGAAAGATAATGAGTTTTGAGGCAAAGCTATTGGCTTAATGGATTTAATATGAAAAGGAGCATTGATTCCATTCCACTGGGATCAAAAAAGAAAAAATAAATAAATAAAATAAAAAAAGAAGAAAAGAAAAAAAGAAATAAAAAAAAATAATAATAAAAGAGAAAGAAAAGAAAAGGAATGTTGAGAAAGTCCCCAAATCTGTAAAAGTGAGAAGTGCCTGGGAATTTGTTAGTAAATATGTATGGAGAGATAGTTGTCATGAACCTCAGAAGAGGCAGCTTTTCCTAAGGAAGAAGGAACATAAAGGTGTAAAAGGAATATTAGGAACAATGAAGAACACTGACATTTCTCCCAGGCTTCATGGTTTGTGTAGGGCAAGGGGGAAAAATGCTCTCTTTTCTCCAGAGAGGACAGAAGGCAGGGATGGGGAATCACAGGCTTTTCGCCATTTGGGGACCATTAAGTAAAACTTTTGATATTTTCTAAACCTTGTAGGTGTGTAATAAATAATTTATAGGAAAGAATCTCTTGTTCAAAGAAAAGAAAGTCTGACCTTTGCCTTTGCTTTCTGAGACATCATCTGTGGGCCCTAGGAATGTTATGCCTGTTAGGAAGATCTTTGTTTGCCTGGAGACCTTGAGTCATATGGGATAGTGTAACAGTGTGATTTAGGATAGGGAGGTGGCCACACCTGCATAGTCTTAGGGTGGGGACTGGCCACTCCAGAAAGATCAACAATGTGACTTAAGGCAAGGGCTTTGGGTCATGTGGTATCAGTCAACTTGGAGGTAGAGATTAATGATGTGGGCAATCGACCAATTATGCCTGTGTGATGAAGCCCCGCTACAAATTCTGAACACTTGGGTGAGCTTCCCCGGGTGGCAAATCTTTGTGTGTGCATTGTCATTCAACAACACTGAGGGACTAACCTGTCCTGACTCCACAGGAAGAGGACAATAAAACCTCCACAGTTGGTATTTACGGACTGATTCTGCCCTATGAACTTTCCTTGGCTAGTTGTAATCTGTATCCTTTCCTTGTAATAAACTATAACCCTAAATACAATAGCTTTCAGTGATGTCTGTGAAACTGAGGGTTCTACTCAAGGTTTTGATGCCCCTGAACTTGGTGTCAGAAGTAAGGGCAGTTTTAGGGAATGAGCCTTCTAACTTTGTAGCTGGTCTACTTCAAAGAAAGTGGGAAAAAATCTGCAGATTTTACTTTCTTTGCTTTCTTATAGAATACAGTTTATGTTTTAAGAAATCTGTGTACTTTTAAAATAAAACATTCATTAGGCTCTTTAACTCAGTGTTTATCTATAATAGGTTCATGAACTCATTCAGTAAATACTGAATTTAACTGAGAGCAATGAAAGTAGTTAGGAAAAAATCCACTTGAATTCTTTTTTGTGTACATTTACCAAACATTCACTATTAAAGGGAAAATACTTTGTTTTATATTAATAATTGTACTTACTAATTACATGATGTTGAGAAAACCACATAATTTCTTTGAGTTTCAGTGAGGTCTTTTCTAAAATTAAAGGTAATACCCTTTCCATAGATACTAATTCTAATTAAGGTTTAAGAATAAACTCAGCAGAATATATGTCAGAGTGTACCTCCATTATGACTCATAAAAATGCTACATGGCATGTGTGTGCATCCAAAGTAAAGGACGAAATCAGAAATATTTTAAAATTGTAGCCTAGTACCTGGCATGCAGAACATGTTTCATAAATATTAACTGAGATAATGATAATCTAAGAATTTCATAAGATTCATGCTTTATAAATTTTTTTGACTGAAGATTAATGAGTAGCTAACATTTCTGAACCCAATTATTTTCTTAAGAAGCTAATTTTGGCCGGGCGCGGTGGCTCAAGCCTGTAATCCCAGCACTGTGGGAGGCCGAGGCGGGTGGATCACGAGGTCAAGAGATCGAGACCATCCTGGTCAACATGGTGAAACCCCGTCTCTACTAAAAATACAAAAAATTAGCTGGGCATGGTGGCGCGTGCCTGTAATCCCAGCTACTCAGGAGGCTGAGGCAGGAGAATTGCCTGAACCCAGGAGGCGGAGGTTGCGGTGAGCCGAGATCGCGCCATTGCACTCCAGCCTGGGTAACAAGAGTGAAACTCTGTCTCAAAAAAAAAAAAAAAAAAAAAGAAGCTAATTTTCTCCTCTGTGCAAATTTATGAGCTGAAGGTATTATAACAATCTTAGACAAATCACCACTATCAACTAGATTCTAGTTATCAATTCCATACAAATCATTGTTCTTGAATGTATATAGCTTTAAAAAATATGATAGAATCAAACTACCTTGGCCAGCCACAGTGGCTACTCACGTCTGTAATCCCAGCACTTTGGGAGGGCAAGGCAGGAGGATCATGTAAGCTTAGGAGTTCAAGACCAGCCTGGGCAACACAGTGAGACCCCTGCCTCTACAAAAAATAAAAATAAGAAAATTAGCTGGGCATACTGGCATGCACCTGTAGTCCTAACTACTTGGGAGGCTGAGGTAGGAGGATTGCTTGAGCCCAGGAGGTCGAGGCTACAGTAAGCTATGATCATGCCACTGTGCTCCAGTCTGGTCAACAAAGTAAGACTTTGTCTTAAAAAAAAAAAAAAAAAAAAGAAAAGAAAAGAATCAACTACCTTATACTTTTAATTATTGTATTTTAAATATTTGAAATAAATTGATTCCAGTGTTTATAAGCATTGACTATTAATATCAATTTCTTTATTTCTTTCTTTATTTCTTTTTAAATTTTTTTTAATAGAGATAGGGTTTCACTATCTTGGCCAAGCTGGTCTTGAACTCCTGACCTCGTGATCCGCCCATCTTGGCCTCCCAAAGTGCTGTGATTACAGTCGTAAGCCACCGCCCCGGCCTCATGAATATCAATTTCTAGCCAAATTTTGATTACTACGTAAGTATACTTTTTTTGTTGTTGTTGTTGCAGTTTTTCCATTGCCACTAGTATGGACTTGTTTTTGGTTTGTTTGTTTGTTTTTTGTTTTTGAGACAGTCTCGCTCTGTCACGCAGGCTGCAGTGCAGTGGCACGAACTCGGCTCACTGGAACCTCCGCCTCCCAGGTTCAAGTGATTCTTCTGCCTCAGCCTCCTGAGTAAGCTTGGGATTACAAGTGCATGCCACCACACCTGGCTAATTTTTGTATTTTTAGAAGAGATGGGGTTTCACCATATTGGTCAGGCTGGTCTTGAACTCCTTTTTTTCTTTCTTTCTTTCTTTTTTTTTTTTCTTCTTCTTTTTTTTTTCTTTTTTTCTGTTTTCTATTTTTTTTTTTTTAATTTTTTATTTGTCTTTTTGAACTCCTAATCTCAAGTGATCTGCCCACCTCGGCCTCCTGAAGTGCTGGGATTACAGGGTGAGCCACCATGCCCAGCCATGGATTTGTGATAATTAATGCTGTTTTTTTTTTCTCTCTTCTTTTCACAGATTTTGAAATGCTGGTTTTTAAAGCTTTTTTTGCCCCATTTTGATGCATCAGATAAGGTACATTCTTAGAATGATGACCAACTCCCGACTTAAAATTTAACCAATGTTGTGAAATTCCCCACCATTTGTAATTAAATGCAAGTTGTTTTCAAGTTTAGATTATGTCTCTAAAAATGAATGACTCCCATAGCCTTAGGGCATTTTCTGTTCACAGAAGTGAGCAACAAGGACAACCGGTTCCACAGGATACAGTAAATACAGCAGAATGTATGTCAGAGTGCACCTCCATTATGACTCATAAAAATGCTCTGCTCTACAGCTTGTGTAATACAGGAGTTATTTTACTAACCACATGGGAGGTTTCTTGGCCTTGGAAATAAGAAATTTTTTAAATATCATAAGCCATGAAAGCAATATTCTATCAAATATTCAAATATAAACTGTTGACTTCCATTCAGACCCGCAAACTGCATGGGGGACTTTGTAAGCTTCTTTTTGAAATTCGATGTTTCCAGGAAAGCACACAAGAAGAAAGAAAGGAGGTACAAGAAGGGGAAACAAAATCTCCTTCCACTCTTTCAGCATAACCTGTTTTAATATCCGTAAGCATCTGGGGAGTCACCGGGGCTTTCAGTGACAAAAGTCTGTGGTGGAAGCCCCTCTGAGAAGAGAACTCTGCTCTTTAGGCCTTTCAGAGGTGGGCAGAGCTCGGGAACCGGTTTCTACGGACAGAGGACGCGTTGCTAAGGGACGGAAGGGTGGGGGCGGGGCGAGTAACCCGCGGAGCCAGAGAGGGAGGAAAGGAGATGAGGTTTGTTTCTGGGGGCGGGAACGTTGGAAACACTGAAAATCAAAATTTGTAGGGGGGTGGGAGGCGAAATAGAAAAAACATCGTTTTACATAAACGGCCTTTCTGTTCCTGGAGTCAGTGGGACGTTCTCCAGCCGGGCCTGGACTGGGAGAGTGTGAGTGAGGTCAGGCGAGTGTGGGACCTGGCGGGAGGCGGGTCCCGGGGCTCTTCCCAATTCGCATTAATATTTAATTTGGAAGAACCCTTTGCGTCTTCTAAACTAAATATTAATGAGCTTCCTCAATGTTGACCTTAATTTTGTTTTCCCACGAAACGACCAAAGGCATAGAGCTTTAGAGTAGGGCTCCGTGTGTTTCCAGCTGGGATGGAGGCTCCTGGGGGAAGGTGACCTGGGGGCGGAGAGAGAGGTGCGAGGGGCGCTGGGGGCTGCTTAACTGATACATTTCCAAATGATGACACCCAACTTTCTGGAATGGGTGGTGGGAGCCGATCACTCCTGTGGTAATTGTGCTGCGATTTTCAGCTGGCTAATCAATTTTTCCAGTAAGTATCTGATTAGTCGCCCACAGTAACACTCCTCAATATACGTGCATCATCGTTTTAGAATTCCTTGATAGCTTTTCTTAGAAACTTCCCTTCCAGGCTGCGCGCAGTGGCTCACTTCTGTAATCCCAGCACTTTGGGAGGCCGATGCGGGCGAACACTTGAGGTCAGGAGTTCGAGACCAGCCTGGCCAAAATGGTGAAACCCAGTCTCTACTAAAAATACAAAAATTAGTTGGGCATGGTGGCGGGCGCCTGCAGTCACAGCTACTGAGGACGCTGAGGCAAGAGAATAGCTTGAACCAGGGAGGTGGAGGCTGCAGTGAGCTGAGGTCACACCACTGCACTCCAGCTTGGGTGACAGAGTTAGACCCTGTCTCAAAAATAAAAATAAAAATAAATAAATAAGAAAATGCACAACGTGTAGCTAAGCACATGGGTCTAGTTTTTAATTGAGTTCTCTCAGTGCCAGGGCTGTACTAGTTTGCTGGGACTGCCGTGACAAAACATCAGAGACCGAGTGGCTAAACAATAGAAATTTATTTTCTCACAGTTCTAGAGACTAAAAGTTAGAATTGAAGGTGTGGGCAGGGTTGTTTTCTTCAGAGGCCTCTCTCCTTGGCCTGGGGTGGTAGCTGCCTTCTCACTGATTGTACACAAGGTCTTTCCTCGGTGTATCCTGGTGTCCCAATCTCCTCTTCTTATATGACACCAGTCATGGAGGGGCCTACCCTAAGAACCCCATTTTAACTTGAGTCTTTAAAGGCCATATATACAAATACGGTCACATTCTGAGATCCTGGGGCCTAGGACTTCAACATATGAATCTGGAGGCAACAAAATTCAGCCTATAATATAGGCCATTTATCAACATTTTAGATTTAAAAGAAAAAAAAGATTCCCCTAAGTTGGTACTTGGAATGTGAGATGGAGCTACTCGGCCAGTCATCTCATTATTGAATAAACATGAATCATTTAACAGATGAAGTGAGTGCTTACTGTGGTCTCAATAGTGGACTGTGTCACATAAAAATGTAAGAAGTGGCCTTGTCCTCAAGGAGTAAGCATTTGAACTAATAAAGCCAAATAATGGAAGTGAATTTTAATTTAGCCTCAATTTTCTAGGTAATTTCTCAGGTCTTTAGTTTGTGACTTTAGAGATTCTTAGTTTTCCTGAGTTGTTTAGAACTTGCTCAAGAAGCCTTCTCAGCTGAACCTCTTATATTGATGACACTGGGTTTTGCTGTTGTTGTTTTTGTTTATTTTTAATCCCAAAGGTGTTGTTAAAATAAAATTGCTGTCTTAAAATATTCAGGACATTTTTATTTCAGGTACAACTTAGTCTCTGATATGCTATTAATATTGACCTGTAATTTTTGTTGTGAATAAGCCTTTGCAGTGAGGCCCGTAGATGATTTACTGTGAGAGTAATTGGGAATTCATTCTGCCCCAATTGGCATGGCCTCTATTTCATTGTGGTCTTTAAAAACAAACACGAAAACAAACAACAACAAAAAACATCACTACTGAGCTAGAAATTAAGAACATAAATCCAAGTTTCCTTTCAAAACAATTTTACCAAGTTTAGGTTTGCAAGAGCCCCATTTTATAACAATTGACTCAACTTTTTATTTCATCTTCCAGTACATCATTATGAAGTGACATCATTTATTACAGATAAACTAGGTTTACTTTTTTTAAAAAGTTTATTCAGAGACATCTCCAAATTAAATTGTAATTTTCAAATTACAATTAGATTTAAAATGCTTTGCCTGAGGCTGAGATTCAGAGGTGGGTAAGTCAATTCTGCTTTAAACGAGCTTTCAACCTAGTGAGGAAGAGATTTTTGTCAAAGAGTAAACATCTTTTTTTTTTTTTTTTTTTTGAGATGGAGTCTCGCTCTGTTACCCAGGCTGGAGTGTAGTAGCACAATCTCGGCTCACTGCAATGTCCGCCACCTGGGATCAAGTTATTCTCCTGCCTCAGCCTCCAAAGTAACTGGGATTACAGGTGTGTGCCACCATGCCCAACTAATTTCTTTTTTTTTTTGTATTTTTAGTAGAGACAGGGTTTCACCATGTTGGCCAGGCTGCTCTGAAACTCCTGACCTCAAATGATCCGCCCACCTCAGCCTCCCAAAGTGCTGGTATTACAGGTGCGAGCCACTGCACCCAGCGAGTAAACCTCTTAAAACCTGATATGGTGGTTCTTGCCTGTAATCCCAGCTACTCAGGAGGCTGGGGCTGGAGGGTTGCTTGAGGCCAGGAGCACACAAATAAAAGACTGTCATCAAGACAAGGAGTGGGAGGATGCCAAGTAAAGTTTCATAGAAGAGTAGTCTTTATATTATATTTGATAAAGAGTAGGCTTTTGATATTGCAGAAGGATAGTAATGATGACACTGAAGATGTTTCACTGTTTGATGTGGAAGAGGAGACGACTAACAGACCAAGAAAATAGAAAATCAGACATCCAGTAGTGTTGATATTCACTTAGGGTGGCTGGCAAAGTGTTGAAGATATATTAGGGAAAGTTACAGATTAGTCTCAAACTTTTTGGAAGGCCAAAAGGTTTTATTGGGACAGGCCGAAGGCGGCAGGTCCATTAAATTAGGGAGAAAATAGGAAGGAGGCTCTCCCAGTTAAGTCTGTTTACCCCACATCCCTTTGTCTCTACTCTTAACTGTTTACTCATGTAAACTTTGTGTTGGATGGTCCTCTCAGTGGGAGATCAGAGGGGAGTTACCTGTTAATAGTGTTTACTCTGGGCCAGGAACCTAAAGCTTTTTGTCATTCCTATAACCACTTTTTTAACCATATCAATTAACCACAAGTGTGTTAACTTAGTACCTCTATTGTAAAATCTTGACGGAATTAATGTGTGGATGGACAGAGGGTCTTGGTTGATTGGTTGCATTTCACCCTCAGAAAGCAGCCAATGGCCATCCCTAGCCCACTTGTTTCACTGTAATGGTGTAAGACTGCCTTCATTCATCCGTCATTGAGTCAGGATCTGCAGGCCAGACATCCACAGGTGGTGGTTGACATCTCACAGTAGCATCGTTTTTCCACTTTTCTTTCGAGTCAGTGCAATCGTTACCTATCTTCTCTGTGAGTTGCTCAGCAGCAGCTTTATTATCTGTATGGTGACAATTATCTTGTTGTCATGTTACTTTTTGGCAGTGAAGAATGTCACAGGTAGACTAATGATTGGCCTACCTTGCTGGAATCACACTGATGAAGATGGAAGCCATTGGGTGTTTGAATCTAGAAAGGAATACTTTCAAGAGAATAAAACTGTGTCCGAGGCTGAATCAAGAATCTTTTGGTTGGGACTTACTGCCTGTCCAGTGCTGTGGGTGATATTTGCCTTTAGTGCCCTCTTCTTCAGAGTAAAGTGGTTAGTGGTGGTTATCATGGGTGTGGTGCTACAAGGTGCCAACCTGTATGGTTATATCAGATGTAAGGTAGGCAGCAGAAAGAATTTGACCAGCATGGCTACTTCATATCTTGGAAAGCAGTTTTTAAGACAAAACACTGGAGGTGGTCAGACTTCCTGAATAGAGAAAGCTTACGTGCTTTGTTACATTGGGGAACAACTGAAGAGATTCTTGACTCTGAACCTTTTAGAGCTTGGTCCATGTTGCCACAAGGAGTGTTGGCTTTGTTTTTCCACTTAAAAACTTTATTTATAAAAAGGGAATGTAGTTTTCATATTAGGTTTTTATTTCCTTTCCAGCAGTTGGGGCTAGGAAGTATATGTTGGCACTAGAAACATTGTCAAGATTTGTTCAGTGGCGTGGGTATGCACATGTTCCGTAGGTATGCACAACACAGCCATGTAATATCAATATATACCAAGTTAATGAAAGTGTTCATTTACATAGCTAATGGAGACCTTTGCATTTTGATCCAAAGAACGTAGGAGGATGTTCTTAGTCTGTCTCAAAGCTCTGTGTGTTTACATATTATTTCTGTAGATTATTTTCTGAAGTAAGTTTTGCTTCCATGGTAAGAGTGAGCACTTTGGCTTATGTATAAGTTGGAAATAATTGTTAGTTTTTAATATGTACCTCATGGGGAAATTTCTTAGACATATGCAAGCAAATGAAAATAATTAGGGTGAGTGGTAACTATTTTCTAAAATTTTATCTTTATTTGTAAGAAGACATTTACTTAAGGCCCAGTTAATATAAATGGAATCATCATAGTTTATTTAAGGAATACACAGAGATTGCTGCTGTTCTATTTATTTTACAGAAAGAATAGCTAGATTGAAAGCTCTTCAGTGGAACTTGAGCTAATCAATCTATCTTTTACCACTAAAAGAGCATTATTTTCATGTCATAATAGGAATAATCATTTACATACTTGGCATAATAAATGTCTAAAAGATTTTATTTTCTGAATCTATGTTTTTTCTTGCTATACTAGGGATATTGTAAACTATGTATTTGTATTAATGGTATTTCTTTTTTTTTTTTTTTTTTTTTGAGACGGAGTTTGACTCTTGTTTCTCTGGCTGGAGTACAATGGCGTGATCTCGGCTCACCACAACCTCCGCCTCCTGGGTTCAGGCAATTCTCCTGCCTCAGCCTCCTGAGTAGCTGGGATTAGTGGCACGCTCCTGTATTCCCAGCTAATTTTTTGTAGTTTTAGTAGAGACGGGGTTTCACCGTGTTGACCAGGATGGTCTCGATCTCTTGACCTCGTGATCCACCCGCCTCGGCCTCCCAAAGTGCTGGGATTACAGGCGTGAGCCACCGCGCTCGGCCGGTATTTCCTAAAGCAATAGATGTGACTGTAAACTAAAGCAATATACAAACTATTGTAGGCATCTGTAAATTCTGTTGTAGGTACTATAAACTTTGTTGAAATCTTAATCAGCAGATTATGTTGTGAATATATTTGTACATTGTTAAAATATTTTTAAAGATTATTTGTTTAATTGAATTAGTGTCTTATTGGAGTGATAGCTTTGAAGGTGCAAAACTTTGTATTTGTATAAAATTCCTCTGTTTACAAGGCAAAAAGAAAAAAAGAGTAGGCTTTTGACTGAAAGACATGTGGGAGAGCATTCTGAGTAGAAGGAAATGCATGAGTGAGGGGCATGCTTGGGAAAAGGGAAGGACATGTCCAGGAAGTAGGAATGGCAGAAAGTGGTGGAACAGAAAGGGGTCAGATCCTGGATTATCTTTTCTTGACTGGTCTCATATGTCTTCTGAAGAGTTTGGGTGTCATTCTTCAGGTTATGAGAGCAAGCCACGGTTTGTGGGCTGGAACTGATGCTGATCAGTTTCTGGTTTAAGAAAGACAGCTCTGATGGCATTTTGTTTGCTTGTTGTTTTTGAGAAGGAGTCTTGCTCTGTCACCCAGGCTGGAATGCAGTAGTGTGATGTAGCTAGGATTACAGGCATGCATCACCATGACCGTTGTTTTGTTTTGCTTTTAGGTAGAGATGGGGTTTCATCATGTTGGCCAGGCTGGTCTTGAACTTCTGACCTCAAGTGATCTGCCTGCCTTGGCCTCCCAAAGTGCTGGGATTACAGGTGTGAGCCACCATACCCAGCTTGATGGCATTTTGAAGAATCAATATTTGAGGAATGAGGAGGAAGGTTTGGGGCAGGCAAACTAGGGGGGTGTATAGTGCAGTAACCCAAAGGAGTCTAAATGACAACCTGAAGGTCTGAAGAAGGATGATGGCAATGGAAATCAAAGCAAGGATAAGAAAGGTCTGTCTTCTTGATGTTAATGTTGCCCCACTGTTAATAGAATTCGGTGAGAGACCATTGATCCATTCCACCCCTGAAAGTCTATGAGTTAAGCTATTGTGACCACATCAGAACCCTGTATTCCAGATGAGCACACTTCCCCCAACTCTAAGTAGAATGCTTCAGAAGATGAGAGAGATAACTAGTAGGATCAGAAGAAGAACTTTTTATCTTTTGCAAATAAATTTGAGCATGCTAAGAGGAAGACAATCGTGAAGAAAAGAGGTAAAATGTATAGGAGAAAGGTGACAACTAATAGAATTCTTTCGGGAGACTGAAGGTAATGGAGTTTAGAGTACATCAGGAGGGATTCGCTTTGGTCGGGACAGCCAACACCTGTTAAAATTAAAGTGCAGAACGGATGGGAATGAATAACACCTTGGTATGAGAGGTAGGAGCTGAAGAAGCTTTTAATTGATGGTCTATTTTCTTAGTGAAATAGGAGAGGGTATCTCTTTTGCCTAGGAAGATGGGGATCACAAAGAAAAATGTTTATCAGGTGCCAACTTTCTTAGTAAATTTGATAGAATACCTAGCACAATGTCTTCATGTAATACATTTAGGTAGCCAGTGACCAAATGAACAAATAAATGCTTATTATCAAATAATAATATATGCTCATATATATTATTGAGAATTCAGAAAGAAGTATGAAATAGGAACACCAAAGTATATATTAAAATTAAAAAGATATAATAAAGAACATAAACATAGATCACACTGAGGAACATTTAATATAGTTGTTTTTTTTTTTTTTTTTTAGACAGAGTCTCGCTCTGTCGCCCAGGCTAAGGTATAGTGGTGTGATCTCGGCTCACTGCAACCACCACTTCCCAAGTTCAAGCCATTCTCCCATCTCAGCCTCCCGAACAATCAGGACCACAGGGGTGTGCCACATAGGCTGGCTAATTTTTTGTATTTTTAGTAGAGACAGGGTTTCACCATGTTGGCCATGCTGGTCCCAAACTCCTGGCCTGACCTCAGATGACACACATGCCTCGGCCTCCCAGAATGCTGGGATTACTGGTGTGAGCCACTGCACCCAGCCCATTTAATATCATCTTGATTCATTTTGCATTAAAAGATTAATAGTTAGTTCATGCAAAGTAGTTGGAGTACACCCTCATATTAGTACTGATGTTTCTTTGCTCTCAGCATTTATTTGAGGAGATACAAAATAGGCCCTTGATGAACTTATGAACTATAGTGATGAAAGCAAGCAAGTTAATCCATAGTGTTCCCTCACCTCCACTTTTTCCCAGGGCCATTTATCCATTAGGCCCCACTGGCACATTGCCAAAGGTCTACGGGAGAAAAGTATTTGCAAACTGAAAAAAATGTATTGGTTTCAAAATTTGAAATTAAAACTACAAAACTAACATTCAGCCAATTTTATTAACTGTCAAATTTAGTATTCATAAAACTTTTGTTGACCCTTGAAAATAATTGGTTAGTTTTTCTCACTCTAAAAAAGTTCATGATCTGCCAATGATTTTCCAGAAATCATTCATAGCCAAATAATTTACTCTGAGCAAAATATTTTTAAAGCAAAAACATAAAAATTCTTTCATGCTACAGCTAACTGTATATAATAAAATACAGCTGTGTGTGCATGTGCATGTGTGTGTGTATGTGTATGTTTATGTGTGTGTGTGTGTGTGTGTGTGTGTGTGTATAATGGGATGACAGTTTGCCTCATAAAATGTCCTATGTGGTCTTCAAGATGGGTTGACTAAAAGTGAGAGGTGTAGGACACCTTACTCTAAAAAAGACCTGCTTTCTCAGCACTTTGGGAGGCTGACGCAGTCAGATCTCCTGGGGTCAGGAGTTCAAGACCAGCCTGACCAATGTGGAGAAACCCTGTCTCTATTAAAAATACAAAATTAGCCAGGCATGGTGGTGCATGCCTGTAATCCCAGCTACTCAGGAGGCTGAGGCAGGAGAATCGCTTCAAGCTGGGAGGCAGAGGATGCTGTGAGCTGAGATCGTGCCACTGCACTCCAGTTTGGGCAACAAGAACAAGACTCCGTCTCAAAAAACAAAAAAGAATTAAAAAAAAAAAAGACCTGCTTTCTGTTCTTTCTCACAAGTCAGTAGCATTGTCTCAGTTGGCTCTCTTGTAGTTTATACCTTCCCCAAACTGGGAAACTCATTCACTTTAATACATTAATTCTTTCAGTTATTTACCTGTGTCTTGCTGAAAAATAGAAATCTTTGTCTCCAGTAAAATAAACTTTGGTGAGGAATATGGGTGCCTTCTCCATCCCCTTGAACTCATATTATGTTTAAGGGAAACACAGAAGCTAAAACTCCTCGGAGAGTTTTAGTTTAGTTTAGTTTTACAAGAGGGATGGTTCTTGGGTCTGAAAACAAAATATGCCCACATAATCATAATCTATATTCTTTTTCAAAATCTGTTCCCTGCTGTCCTGTGGGAAACCCAGAGAGTCATAAGCATTCACATTGTGCAAATACCTTTACCCTGTCAAAGTAAAATAAAATATAGACACTAATCTCTAAAATCAAAATATTTATTTGGAATTAGCTCACACACACAGAGCAGTGGTCTTCAGTATCTAAAGAACAAAGAGAAGGTTAGAGGTTTTATAAAACCAGGAAATGTTACAAATTGGCGCTAGTAAGGTTTTGAGGCACTGACAAGATTGGTAAGTGAAGGCTGAGGGTAAAATTGGTTTAGAGTTGCCACAGGTCTTTTCAGTAGCTGTTAGATACTACTGGTTAGGTTATAGCAGTCAATTTCAGCTGCCAGAGGAACTGCGTTTTTTGGAGCAATGTTTTGTGCCCTGAGTGCTTTCGCTTTACCCTGGCTTCTCACTGTGTTTTAGTTAGGTACCACAAGAGTGACCCATTTCATATAATCAGCTTTCACAATCCTGGATCTCTCCTTCCCAGCATGCAACCTGATGTTGTGCGGTTTGCCACAAGACATTCTATCTGCCGGCACCCCCATGGCCCAGAATTTCCTCTGTGTAATTTTCTTTTAAAGAAATGGGGTCTTGCTCTGTCACCCAGGCTGGGGTGTAGCAGCATGATCATAGCTCACTGCAGCCTCAAACTCCTGGGCTTAAATGAACCTTTGATCCACCCACCTCAGCCTCCCCAGCAGCTGAGACTGTAGATGCGTGCTACCGTGCCCGGCTACTTTTTTTTTGTCTTTCTTTTTAAGATGGGGTCTTGCTATGTTGTCCAGAGTGGTCTCAAACTCCTAGGGTCAAGCAATCCTCCTGCATCAGCCTCCCAAGTAGCTGGGATTATAGGCATGCACCACCACACTCAGCATCTCTGTGGAATTTCTTTATCACACCGGACTACATCATGTGATGGA